AGAGAAAGGCAACAAGTTTATTTGAAAAATTAACCAGCGGGTAAGAAGCAGTGTTAGGATGAAAGTGCCAACCAGCTGATGACTTTTACAGCTAACGGTTTTAATTTTGGCCCTTTTACGACTAACGGTAAACAGAATGTTAAAAATCAGTTTTATTTGTTTGAAAACGTTGAAAATTAATTTTCTTTGTTTTAAACCACATTTACGACCGACCGTTTTCTTCTCAGGTCAATCCAGGGGTATGAAAAAAAAACATATAGCAAATAGCATACTGCTTTAGTAATAATACAGTCAAACTTCTCGTCAGCGACACCTGAAATGTTAAGTTAAGTGCTGACTTTCGGGAGGTGGTCACTTAAGGGAGGTGGTCGTCAACCAGAAGTCAGGCCACAGCTCTTATCAAAACCTGTAATGATTACTTTTAGCGGCTTATTCAAGGAAAAAAAATATAAGGATCTATGGCGATTGTTTTGTATCTCACAAATTACTTAATACAGCGTTTGGGACAATTCACGTGAAAGAAACTTGGCTCGTGACATTTGCAATAATTTCCACTTTCCGCCCGTAAGAGATAAAGCCTATTATTTGTGAAGTGGTCGCCAAAGGGAGGTTTAAAACAATTCGAAATTGTAAACAAGCATCTCTAAAGGCGGTCTCTTACGAGAGGTAGTCGCTTGCGAGATGTTTCATTTATAGTGATTTGACTTAGAAATTTTTTTGGTATTTTGAAAAAGTGATCGCAAACGAGAGGTGGTCGCGAAGGGAGGTTCGATTGTCTAACTATATGTATAGAAATATAATGAATATAAAACAGTCTTAGATTTTGACATTCTCAAAATGAACTGACTTTTTTACGCCTTGAGATGAAAATCCGTTCATTTTTACGTCTAGCGGTTCAATTTTTGGCTATTTTTACGGCTAATTTCGACCTCTTTGAGGCCTTTAATGATATCTCATCATCAACAAAGATAATTCTAGCAAGAAACTCTCTTTGTTCTGATAGAACAAAGAGAGTTTCAAAACATTCCAGAGACATTCTAGAAGAATGTGTCGAGGACAACTTGAAATCTTAGGGCCTGTTTACATGGAGGTGGGGGACACCGATGAGGTGAGGTAAACCGCCTAGCCGTGGTCGAAAAATAGCCCGCGTTTACATACAATCTTATAGCCACGGGATGCCGGGGTGAAGTTTCTCGAGGTTGTGGTCGCGCTTGCAATTAGGGTAAAATAGTGCTGAAAAAACGTGATTTATAAAAAAGGCCCTTGTGCACATGATTTATACGTTATGTCATTGAGAGTGTCCGGCTCAGAGATTTCTGTCTAAAAAAAACCTTACCTTCAAATCGCAGAATGACTTTAAGCTTGCTACCAACAAGTGGGTATCCCAACTGATTGAATGATCAAACAAGAGGCTACACGGAGCCTATATTCTGACCGGATTTGCGGTTCAGAGGAAACAAATTGAAGGCCTTGCGGGTTTTAGCAAAATTGCTGTTGAGTGCTTTTCAATGTTTACTTAACATAGAGAGTTATGGAGATTAAGACTTTGGAACGAGTTGATGCCATGACAGATTGGAAATGCTAAAATCGCTTGATGAAATACGGGGACCAACGTAATTACCGCGGCAAAGTCAACAGAAAAGGAATAAATCACTTTGTGACTCAGTTTGAGTCACGGAGAAATCCAGAATGATGGTAACCATCCAACTCCACAGAATGATAAACGCATACCTCGGGCGTTCTACAAACCCAGAAAGCTACCTTAACCATATTTGCATTTCTAATTATCACGTAATGAAATACTGGAGGTTACTTTCATGCATTTGAACCGTATAAAACTTACATCAAATGAAAGCTAAGATGTAGTATTATATTGCGAAAAAGGAAAGGGACACAGCCTCTAAATGATGGAAAATTGACCGTTAAATAAATTAAAACATGTTGATATCACAAAGATTATGATCAGTTTGCGTGAAGCGAAACCAGAGTGATATGGGCCAAGTGATTTCGCTGAGTGATTTTAGTCGATGTTCATAAAATCGTATGAAACTTACACCAAATAAAAGCTAAGGAGAGTAAATTGCGACAAAAAGCGCGCACAAATACAGCGAGGTAGATACCGAAACACCGAATAAATTTTGGCTGTTAAATTTCCCGAATTCTGTGGCGACGATCGATGAGGAAATTATGCAATGACATGAATATGAAAGCGATCCTAGTTATTTTCACTACTTCTTAAGCAGTGGTCATAACTGCGAGGATCGCTTCCATATTCGTTTCTTCAACCGTAGTTCACATGTATGATATGCGATGACATGTTTTCTCAAACGATAATAAATTATACAAATAACGAACCAAAACAAAAACTGAACAAAGCAAGCGTTCTAATTGCTACACCAATTGCAGTTATAAGCAAACCGCAAATGCCTGTTATCTGGCTGAATAACAACGACTCGTACAGTTACGCTTTACTGAGCTTGGCAACAGTTCCGCAGTTTCTACGTTGAATTTTTTTATATTCATTAGCGATAGAAAAATAAACCAACTATATAAATCCCCTCGTTACACGCTACCTCTGCCTTCCGTGTAGAGCATTACAGTGAAATGCTTTCTCTTATTATAATCCAACCGTTTTTCTGTGATTTGCGAATTTCAAAGATTTCATCAATTAAAAAAAGCTCTATGGCCTTTTACAAAACTACTAAAACACTGCGAACGCCCCGATTGGTCAAAATTGTATCGTTAATTGCACCGGTAGACTCATAAAAAATTGATACATTTGAAGTTTATTTTCTAAAAGCAATAGTCTGCATTTTTTATTGGTTTACCGGCGTAAAAACCCCCTTGGGTGTTAGAAGAACACGAGAAAAGTTTGTAAATCATTCGCCTCCGGCTCGTTATTTACAAACGTTTTCTGGTGTTCTCCCGACAATCAGCAGATGTTATTACGCCGGTAAAGCGATAGAAAGTGCGGTTCATTTTTAAATAGTCCTCTTTACAATTAAAGAATTAAAAAACTTAACGGGTGTGAAATTGCCTTTTCTGGTACGGTTCAGATTATAGATTCCAAAGAGATCATCATGGCTGTTTGGAACAAGAAAGCCCTTTTCGCCACAGCGTTTATCAGTTGTGCTCCACCAGTTTTATTGCACAAACATTTCAAGTGTAACTTGGCCTCCGTTGTTGATGAGCTAGTACGGCTTCAATTTTTGTTTCTTTGGTCATTTTGGAGAGTTAATATCATGAAGTATGTATTGTATCGAGAGCCTGATTGATGTTCACATTTTGAAGCGTGCACGAATGACCTGCTCACCTCTATACATAAAGAGCGTGTCTGAGAACATCTCGCGCATCCTTCAACCCTTCAATGTTCGTGTCATCCACAAACCCGTAGCCATTCTACGTCAGTAACTAACAAACGTCAAAGACAAGGACGAACCTGAGAACAGACAGAGAGAAGTTTATAAGATCGATTGCTCCGATTGCCAAGCCTCCTACATCGGAGAGATTGGCAGAAACATCACAACAAGACTGACTGAATAGAAGCCAGCGACAAGGAAAGGTGATGTCAATAATTTCTTCGCTGGATATCATCGACTCACGAACCATTCTATTGACTGGGACTCTGCGAAATGCCTAACCTACAGCACTAACTACTTCCAACGATCGACTCTACAAAGCTGGTCTGTCAACTACTACCGGCACCATACAAACGACAAATTAACATTACAAACCGAACAGAACGACTTAACTTTACCGACGGATCGAAGCCGAGCAATCACGACTGACTCACGCCACTTGAGTCTTACAGCCAATAACATCACGGCAAACCTGGCCAGCAACCGGACTTAGAACATTTGACTGACTACAACTATTCAATTGACTCTGATGATGACTTCCGCTCGGGTTGACGAAATGTAAGTCACCATTACCGACAACAGTCCTTTTCAGGACTACCCTCACCCGGACGATCAGATCACACTATCACATGTTACCCCCCCCGGGTTCCAAGCATTTACTGTAATCGACATATTCCTATTTTTCTAAAATTCTGAGGCAGTTCATGTGATTTTATTCTTGTTACTATTTCAGTGCTCAGCTTATAAGGCGGGTGACGTGTCAGGTCAATTATGCCCCGATCTCTGCGGCCCACAAAACAGTATCCATCTCGGAAATTGCCTTAGTACGGTGCTTGAAAAGAAGATTTAAAACGGAGAATGGCAGGGAAAGGAAATTATCTCAAAAACTAACATGAGCTGGTTTGAAGAGTTAGCGGAGAAGAGCACCCTCTTCACTTCGCACTCTGACCGCACCTCACGCTATCTTAATACTTGGCCCACTCTCTGCGCTCCATGCTCCATGCTATCTTTACGCTTCTCCTTAGCGCTTCGCCGCTCGGGCTGGTCATGCAGGCTTAAAAAAGTCGTAAGGGGTCCACACATTATCGTTTCGGTGTTACTGTGCGGTTGCTTAATATGCTTTGCTTGCGTCGTTTGTGTAGGCTAACCTTGTGCACTCATAGACTCGTTCATGTTAGTTTTCATTGATTGAAACCAGAATCTTTATAATCCACGCGTTTACATATATTAACACATCCAGTGGAGAAGCTTATATGAACACAATTGTATCACAGTTTTTTCATCCCCTTTGAAAGCAATTAAAATCTGTTTGGTTGAGGTTTTCCACACTTTGTCACTTTGTTTTGTAACACACTACTGCTATTAGAGAGACATATTTTTCATTACTTATTGCCTCAGGACTTTTCAATCAAACAACAACACCTAGCGTAGGTAATCCATCCTGAGATGTTCATGGGGTGCTTTTGATTTTGTTTTTTTGTACACGATTGTAAATATAACCAAAAGTACCTTTTTGGTGAGGAAGTACACATACAGACTTGGAAAATTGTCAAGTGCAAAAAGCCCTAAAAATTTCTCAATTGTCTCATGCTGGTTCAAGTGACGTCCTTGTTCGTAGCAATTTGCTCTTGGAAGTTCTTGTATTAATCGTAGCGTGCTTTCCTCGTTCGGTGATTTTTCCATATTATTGAGACCAAGCTTTGATGAACTTCTTTCTTGTGACTTGGTTAGGCATGTGCCCATAATCATTCAAAATCACACAAAAACGAAAGACAAAGAAAGCCAAGAAACATAGGAAAGGGTCAAGATCTCGATCGCCCAGTGGGGTAAGTTATTGCTAAGTGATTGATTGATTGATTGATTGATTGGTTGCTTGATTGATTGATTGTCGGACTTGACGGGCTGTATTACTGACCAATTAACTGACTGCTCTTTTACAACCTAGTCCTTGCATTTATGAAGTTAAGATCCAAAATTAAAAATACATGTAGTTAAGTCACAAGTAATTAGAAGCACCAGGTGAGACCATGAATGAATTGAGGCTTTTCTTATTTTGATTCAGTCTTTTTACATTTATAGGAGTCGTCTCAATCTGAGGAAGAATTTTCCAAAGAAAAAACATCGTCACACGAAAAGAAACATCACAAGCGGTCATGCTTTAAGTCACCAGAATCATCTGCTTCCGAATCGGGTTAGTTCAATTCTCAAAACCATGCTTCGGTTTCGTAAAATGTAGTCACGTAAAATGTTGTCATAGTAAATTACTTCCCGCTTTGTCAGTCATGTTTCTAAGTATTGTTAACTTCGTTGATTTCAGAACCAGAAAAAGAACTAAGTTCATCAAAAAAGAAAAAGCATAAGAAGGTGAGATTTGAGCTACCTTATAGACATCTATCTTCATTGAAGTTGACACTCTTTTGACTTGTGTCACAACACACTTGTCCTTCATGTTTTTTTCCCGGGAGTTCCTTGTTTCCTTGTATGAGGGTGTGAATGGGGTTAACCGACTAGCGACAAAGGGCGAAAAATACTACTGACTACCAACAAAACGAGAAAAAAAATTTACCGACTACCGACAGAAAAAAAATTAACCGACTACCGACATGGGCCGACATTATCGATATTTGTTTTCAGAAAGATGAGATCAGAAGAGCAATTTGTATTTTTTCTAGTTTACGAAGTAACCACATTAAAGGTAACCATAGAATTTCCCGCCATCTTCTTACTTTTTGGCCGGAAGAGCACGGGATCATTT